CCCATAACCGAATGAAATGTTGCCTGGACCACTGGAGACTGTCTTCACAATAGTAGACATGTTTGAGTCCATTGCTGGCAATCCATCTCAGAGAGTCTTCCTATTTTTCATTAGCTCTCTACTTTACCAAATGTGATGTCTCTTTCCTGAAAACATGCCCAAAGTAAATAAGACAAAGTCTCACCATCCTCGCTTCTAAGGAATTTTCTGGCTGTTCTTCCAAGACAGATTTGCTAGTTCTCCTGGAATTCCATGGTTTATTCAATAGTTGTTGCTAACATCATAATTCAAATGCATCAATTCTTTGGTCTTCCTTATTCATAGTCCAGCTTTTGCAGGCAGTGAAGTGATTGAAAAGACCATGGCCTGGGCCAGGCACATCTTAGTCCTCAAAGTGACATCTTTGCTTTTTAACAGTTTAAAGAGGTCTTTCTAGCAGAGGTTAAGTTGAATTGGACTTGCTGTCAGCATTTCTACCCCTAACAACAGGCATTAACTGTCTCTGTGTTCTGAGCCCAGTGTACCTGGTGATTAGGATAAGATGCAGGGAAGGAGGCAGAGGAAGTTTCCAGGAGTGCACATTGCTCCAGCTGAACTGGGAAAGGCATTTCAGTCTGTCCCTACATGACAAAGCATGAGAAAGCATCACCTGTTCAAGGCTATTCCTCTAAGTTAGCGTTTCTTGAGGCGTGGCTTGGAGACCACCTGTGCAGCATTCAACAGGGAAATTCCCAGGCCCCATTACCAATCTTCTACATCAGAATTGAAAAATCTCTGGGTGATGCAAACAGCTAACATGTTCAGCTGCTAACTGAAAGTTTGGCAGTTCAAATCCACTCTGAGGTGCCTTTAAAGAAAGGCCTGGCTATCAACTTCTGAGAAACGAGTCATTGACAATCCTATGGAGCACAGTTCTATTCTGAAACACATGAGGCCACCAGGAATCTGAGGCAACTCAAAATCCACTGCTGGTGGTGGTAACATCAGAATCTGATGGGGGTGGGGGTGGGGTAGGGTGGGAAGAGAGCAAGGGGAAAGCTTGAGAATTTGCATACTAACAAGCTCCTGTGTGATTCTAATTAAGCTGCAGTTTGATAACAACCTGGGTGGGACATGGCCAGCCCTAGGAGCCTGTAAGTAAATGGGGCTTGGTGATACTAAGCTGACCTGGGACTTAAACCTAAGATCAGATGCTCAAAAGTAATGCCTTTTGTCTTCTTACTTGCCCTTTGAGGGAAGCACAGAATGACTCACTCTCAGTGTAAAAGCACTTCAATTTCTGGAAGAAAAGGAGAAGTAAGAATAGCAGCCTCCTTTCCACCATCCCCTAAGAGAGCTACTGGGCTTTCTCTTTTCCATGAAGTGGTTGGTGGATTTGAACCACCAACCTTTTAGCCCAGTGATTAGCCCAATGCTAGGGCTCATTGGGTATTCAAAGTGGTCTTTTTATGAGACTCAAGCTGGAAGGGGAAGATGCCCTTTTAGCTTAACAAAATATGAGAGATAGCTGTACAGTTTAAAATGTTGGGTTATCTTCTAGATGCAATACATTGAGGCCAAATCTCCATGAAGACTGTTCCCTCCTCCCCTCCACTTGCAGGACTCACCTGGAACCCCCTCCTAAATCCACATCACTAATACAAGAGCACAAAATGACTGACAACCCATGCTGGAGGCCATATGCATGGAGGAGGTTACCCGGAAGTAGATGAAGAGAATGGGTTGAGAATCAAGGGGCCAAAGAGGCATGTGACCACATGGCCCCATGGAGACATCTGAGCCTCTGGGTCTAATGAAGGACCTGTGCTTGAAGGTGGATTCTAGGGACAAATGAGGAAACTCAAGCTCAGCAATTTAAGCTATGTGCTGAAAGTTCATGGGCTGGTCATCTCGGTACTGAAAGGGAGTGTGGGAGGTTGGGCATATCTGATTCTGTCTGCTTATGAGCCCTCAGGGGGAAGTCAGTGGGGTGGCTTGTTCAGAAGTGTGTCATCTGTTTTTAAGGTTCTGATTTGATGGCAATGTAAGTCATCATGTGAGTGTCATCTCAGTGGCCCTTCCCTGCCTGCCAGGGTGGCAGATGCACCATCTGGTTGGGCTCTGGGGACTTAGGAACTTTGAGCAATTAGAGCTGGAAGTGTTCAAAAGGGTGCAAGATAATTTCCCCCAAACTCTTGATTTTATGACAAGGTATCATTGTATGTGTTTGAGTTGCTGCTTAGCGCCATTTCCCTTGTACAGATACAAACATCAGACTGTCTGGAGGCTCCTCAGAAACATCAGACTGTCTGGAGGCTCCGGTCATTTGAAGGACGGTGGAGGTGGAGTGAGGACTGAGGGTGACCAGCCCCCCATGAACCTGAGGGACAGTGTGATCATGACAGTGATGTGATCACTCTGTGACTCAGTTTCCTCACCTCCAAAACTTAGACTTATCATTCCTCCCTCATGGGTTGTTTTTCAGTCTTGGAGGCAATGTATGTGTGGGCTCTGTACATAGCTCCTGCTTTCGTTCTTAAGCAAGCCAGTATTGCAGTTGTTGTGAATATGGGGTAGGAAGGAGATCTATTTTCGAAGCAGAGGCAGAGAAGAAAAAAGAAAAACTAAAAACAAATCAGGAGGTCTTACACCCTCCTGGCTCAGTGGGCTTCATTAGAATTTCATAAAATCAAAGCCAGTGAGGCAGGGTGCCAAGGGGCTGATGAGGACCCAGCGGGAGAGAAGTCAGCCTTCCCTCCGCTGTCCTGCCCCTCCTCTCATCACCAGGGAGACCAAGTTGATGCCTGGCAGGGGTTCCCGCCCACCTAGGGCTGAAGCTGCTGCAAAGAGGGGCTCTGGGCTGAGCAGTTACAGACTCATCTGGAAGCTGCAGTGGGGTAGGGGGAGAGAGGGGAAGAAGTGTCCATGTGCCCTGCCCCCGCCCCCCAGGCGATGAAGCACCCAGGCCAGTATGGGGGTGTGGGATACGTCCAACAGAAAACATTTGGATCCCAGTTCAGTTAGCTGCTTGAACAGCTAGCTTGTTGTGTGACTCTGGGCAGAGCATTTTCCCTCTCAGAGCCTCAGGTTCCACATCTACTGAAGGAAGGAGTCTAAATGTATAAAAACAAAAATGTGGTGAAAAAGTTTGGGTTGAGGTAACAATGGAATCCAGTATGCTACTATGGTGCTGTGGATTAATGCGCTGGGCTGCAAAGTTGATTTGAACACAGAGGTTCAAGCTCACTAGCCACTCCTCAGAAACCCTATACAGGGTTGCTATGAGTTGGAACTGACTAGATGGCACTTAACGACAACAATAGGTACATTTAAAGCTAGGGTAGAAGATTCACCTTTTATTGTTTATTAAAAAAAGGCCACGTCATAAAAGTAACCAGTGGGATCCCATTTTTGCTTTAAAAAAAACACCTTAAAGCTTTGTTTATGCTTTTAAAAAGGCTGGGAGTGATAGTCTAAAATACAATTGTGCTTGTCTGGAAGGGGAGTTTCATGTAGTTTTTACTTACTTCTTGGTACCGTCTCAATTTCCCCCCAATGAACACAGATGACTATTACAACCAGAGTGACATTAATAGCTTGTTTATATGTGGGGAAAGGGGGGAGGCATTCTGCCAACTTCTTTACATGGTTAAAGCTCTTCACAATAACCCAGGGTGGGTAAGTACTATTATTGTCCCCACTTTACCAAAGAGGAAGTTGAGGTTCAGAGAGGTTAAGTTCTACTTACCCAAGGTAAGTAGAACTAAGACTTGAAAACACAATTAGGAAGTTAGACTTCAAACTCTGAGTAGTTAATCTACCACTACTAAGTCTCAGGCCAAGGAAATGCTAAAGATTCCCTTTTATTAAACATTTACTATGGAAAACATCAAGGAACTCAAAATTTGTTGCTGTCAAGTGGATTTCAACTCATAGCAATGACACAGGACAGAGTAGAACTGGCCCTCATAGGGTTCTGGTATGGCACGGTAGGATAATCACTGGATTGTTTGCTAGCCACAAGGTTGGTGTTCAAACCCACCAGCCACTCCTTGGAAACCTACACAGGGTTGCTGTAAGTCAGAACCAACTCAAGGGCACTTAACAACAACAATCTATATAGAAACAGACTCACATCTTTCTCCTGTTGAACAGTTAGTGGGTTGGATCACTGACTTTTCTGTTTGCAGCCAAGTGCTTAACCACTGTGCCATCAGGGCTCCTTTCAGAAATCAAAAGTAGTGTGGAAAAAAAAAATACTCAAATGAAAACAAAAGCTATTTATTCAGAGTTTGCTGTAGCAAGGGAGCCAGACACTATCATTTGTGACCAGCAGAGATTTGGAAGGCAGCCAGGGGACTGGGTCATGGGGGACGGGCTTCAGGTATGGGGAAGCTGGAGGCAGGGTAGCGGTAAGAGGGGTTCTAGTTAGTTCTATATGATTGGTTTAGGAAGCATATTTGACTTTCTCTGGTTTGTCCTAAGTTGGAAGCAGGGACAACACTGAAGAAACTGTCAATTATTAACCAAGTCCTGGGCATTTGGAGCCTCTTGTTCCAGAGCTTGTCATCTGGTAGCTGGTAGCTGCAGACAGTGGTTTGACTGCCTGGGCTGGTTGCTATTTTTATATATGGTCTGGTCATTGTCTTTTTTTATATTCAATCTCTAAGTAGAATACTACAATGAACCCTGAGGGACCCACCAGCCCGTTCCATGAAGTACCGAGACTGGGGAGATCAGGTGATGGTTTATACGGCAGGGGGGTTAGAGGAGATTGGAGGCCCAGGGGTACCAATTTACCTGCATTTACGCACTCACGCATGCACACACACACACACTGCACTACTGCCCCTAGAATGGGATCCGAAACATAATGGGGAACCACACTCTCACATCTCTGCCCCAGTTCCTTCCTTCTTTCTATATTTGGCTGACTTGTGGTTCCCCAGTCGGCTGCTTAAAAGGTCCTGGTTCCCCTCTGAGGCCCCAAAGCTTTAGCAGCCCTGGAGGACGAGGCCATGACCAGATGGGCAACTCTGGTTGTGCTGGTTGCAGTGGGCGCAGCTGTGGCAGCGGCCACCAACCCCGGCGTTGTGGCCAGGATCACGCAGAAGGGCCTTGACTATGGTAATTGGACGCCTTGCTCCCTCCCTTTCTCATCCCTGTGAAGGATTTATTGAAAACCGCAGTGTGCTGGTCCTTGAAATCCGGGGCATGGCATGCTCTCAGCTCTGCAAGGTAGGCCCTCTTATCCCCATTTTATGTATGAAGAAACTGAGGCAAGGTCCCTAGGCCACTCTGCTGGGATGTAGCAGAGCTGAGATTGGAGCGCTGGAGGTTTCCATGTCCCCTGCTCAGGTTCTTGAGGATCCTCTACCCAAGCCCCAAATGTAGTCTTCTAGACCCTTCTCTTCCTTTCAAAGCCAGTTCCCACTCCTGTCATTTGCCTCGAGTCCCCAGTGTGTATGGGGAAAGGTCAGGAGCCATTAAAGGGTTAGGTGGGGCCAAGAGCATCTGGAGGACTCTCCTTAGGGCATAGGTCAGGCAGCCATGCTGTGCCCATTATCTAGTGGGTGACCCAGAGAGGATCCCCAGGCCATTCATCCAGACCCAGATAGCTGCCCTGAGCTGGGTACTGTGCTTGGAACCACACACACACATACACTCTTTCTCTTCCCCTTTTATCTTTGTTTCTCTTATTTAATTCTCACTACAACCTTGGGTCGTTGGAGAAGGATATCATGTTTGGTAAGGTGTAGGGTCAGAGAAAAAGAGGAAGACCCCTAACAAGATGGATTGGCCAAGTGGCAGCATTGATGGACTCAAGTGTGGCAACAGTAGTGAGGTTGGCCCAGGATTGCGCAATGTTTTTTTCTGCTGTGCATAAGGTCGCTATGAGTCAGTACCAACTCGATGGCACCTGACAACAACAACCTTGTGTGTGGGGGCACATACTTCTCTGGAAGCTGAGCTGAACTGAGCTGAAGGTGCTGAGCTCAGCTGCCAGTGTGTCTGGTAGTCAATTAAAACAAGAGTCAAAGTGAAAGTTTAAGGCCAAGCCTTAAATCAGCTACAGCAACAATATAAGCAAATGCTGACACCAGAGAAGGTACCAGCTCTTCCTTGTTCTGTTTTCCTAGGACAAGGGACAAGGACCCAGAGCCTCCTCTGGCCCACCATTCCATACTCACTACTGTGTCCTACCACCCCTTTGCTTTCTCCTTGCAGCCTGCCAGGAAGGAATGGCCATACTGCAGAAGGAGTTGGAAAAAATCAAGATCCCCGATTTCTCAGGAAGCTTTCAGATCAAGCATTTGGGGACAGGGCATTACAGCTTCTATAGGTAAGGCCTGTGGGTGTTCATTTCTTACTACACAGGACTTGTAGGGCTCTGGGACCTCTGAGAAGCCTTTGGGTGGTACCAATGGTTAACACACTCCACTGCTAACCATAAGTCTGGTGGTTCCTAGGACTGGGACTCTTTGTGGACTTGGGCGGCCACTTCTTTCTCCCATACAGTAACTGGTGGGTGTGGGCCCCAGCTTTTTGGTTGGCAGCTAGGCACTTGGTGACTGTGTCACCAGGGTTCCCATAAAGAAGAATTTCCAATAAAAACTAAAATATAAAATTTAAAGTAACACACAAAAAAGCTGTAGTTCAATGAAAAATAGTAAAACACACAATCACAAGAGAAAAAGGACCAACCAAAAGCAAAACATGAAGAAGGGGAAATTTGTATTAATTGAAGACATAAATATAGATACTCCACAGGCATAACCAAACACCTTCCAAGATAGTTTTCTGGGTTTGAAAGCTGAGGACCCTAGTCTCATGTGACATGTCAGTGAATTGGCATAACATGGCTCACAAAAATCATGATCTACATACATCCTAGTGGGTGAGTAGCATCTGGGGCCTTAAAAACTTGCAAGCAGCCATTGGAGACACATGATCAAGTCTCTACTTTCCAGGATCAAAACATTAAGAAGATAACCAAAACCTCAAAGAAAAAAAAAGTCTACACGAACCCCAAAGTAAAGTTACAGTTCTGTTACCAGAAGCAGGTGTGGATGCTGGGCAGAAAATGCTCTCTGCAGAATTGCACACCCTATTCACCCAACAAATCTTTTTGAGCACTTATTGTGCCTCAGGAGCCCTGGTGTGGCGCTGTGGAATAAAGCACTGGACTGCAAGGTCGGTTTGAGCCACAAAGTCAGCAGTTCAAACTCGGCAGTCCTTGAAAATCCTATACAGAGTCGCTATGAGTCGGAACTGACTCGACAGCACTTAACAACAGCAACACTGTGTATCTAGGAGGTCTGGTGGCATAGTAGGTTAAATGTTGGGAATCCACCAGTCACTCCACAGGAGAAAGATGAGGCAGTCTGCTTCCATAAAGATTTACGGCCTTGGAAAGCCTCTGGGGCAGTTTCCCTCTGTCCTATATGGAGTCCTGGTGTGGCTCTGTGGGTTAATGCGTTGAACTGCACAAGGTTGGTGGTTCAAGCTCACCAGTCACTCCTTGGAAACCCTATACAGACAGGGTCACTATGGGCACTTAACAACAATAGGGTCACTGTGAGTCGGAACTGACACCACAGGGGTGGGTTTGACTATTTATCTAGCACAATGGGCTATGGAGCTACAATAGTGAAAAAAGACAGACATATTCCACCCCTTCACAGAGCTTGTAGTTGATGGGATAACATTGGTATTTTTCATTGCTGGCTACATACCCTGATAGATGGAGACTGTTGTCCCCTTTTCACACATGAGGAAGCTGAGGCTCAGAGTGAGTCACTGACCTGCTGGAAACTCACAACACAAAGTGGAAGAGTAGGATTGAAACATAGATTGCTGACCTCAAAGCCCTAGCCACTCCACCCACTGGCCACAGAGTTCGCACGGCCACCCTCAAAGCTTCTGGGACCTCCTGGGATGGGGGAGGTGGTAGCCTCAGGTGGGGGTGAGGGGAGAAGTATGCATTTGCTGAATCAACCTCATGTGACGACCCGGGAGGCAAACGGAACATTTCTCTTTACAGCATGGCTATCCACAGATTCCAACTGCCGCATTCCCAGATGACACTGGTGCCCAATGTGGGCCTTAAACTCTCCACCAGCAATGCCAATCTCAAGATCATTGGAAAATGGAAGGCACAAAAGAATTTCCTGTGCGTATCCTGACTCAGGGCTGTTGGGTGTATGAATGAGTTCTTGGGGTTATTTGCTGTTATTGTTGTTAAGTGCCATCAAGTTGATTCCGACCCATAGTGACCCTGTATAGGGTTTCCGAGGAGCAGCTGGTGAGCTTGAACCACTGACCTTGCAGTTCAAACAGCTTTGCATTAACCCACAGCGCCACACCAGGTCATAGAATCTTGGTGTGGCGCTAAAGGATAATGCGCTGGACTGCAAGGTCAGTTTGAACTGCATGGTTGGTGGTTTAAACCCACCAGTCACTCCTCGGAAACCTTATGTAGGGTCACTATGTGTCAGAACTGACTCCACAGCACCTAACAACAATAAAGCCAAGGTCCTAAGAACGCTCACATGTTCCTTTGCTTCATCACCATTTTTCCCCACAGGGGTTGTGAGGGAATTAGGGAATTTCTCACATCAGAAGAGTCAGAATCATCTTTAACTAATAGCTAAGCAGTTGTCTGACACCTCAGTGCAGGACTTCAGCAAGACTGAAGTGGAACATATGACATAGGGTGGAAGACAAAACAGCTTGTTTCTTGTGAATTGAGTGAAGATTTACAGAGCAGATCATCGGTTTACATCCAGCAGATTGTAGACTTTGTTTCCTCTTCATGGCAGTCCCCTCCATGCCACATCACTGATCCCACGTCCTCCCCTGTGGTTCATGCCCATTCCTTCTCCTTTCCCAGCCCTTCAGAATTCTGGCCTTAGGTAAGTGCGGCCCTTGAGATCTCCAACAGTTGACTGTTCCATAGTGTTCATACTTTATTAGTGGTGTCCCCTCTATGTGATTATCTGTATCTTGGCTTAACATTGGGTCACGGGGGTGAGTTCAGTTCCAGACCTGAAGGGTGACCATGGGCTGTAGTCTCAGGATTCCAGCGATCTCTATCTGACCAGTAAACACAGTCTTTTGTTATGATTTGAGTTTTGTTCCACATTTTCTTCCTTTCTGTCCAGGGCCTTCTAATGTGATTCCTTTCAGAGCAGTTGGTAGTGAGACCGGAAACCTAGTTCTTCTGGTCTCAGGGTTGTGGAGACTGAGGTGCACATGTCTACTAGTCCATTGAACTCATTGATTCCAAGTGTCTTCAATTTTCATCACTTTTTTCCCTCTGGACTAGGAGAGAACAGTAGTTGTACCTTAGATGGTCACTCATGAACTTTTAAGATCCCGGTCATTAATCATCAAAGTAGGATGTAGAACATTGTCTTTATGGACTGTATGATGTTAGCTAACAGTGGTGTCCCCTGAGACAATGGTCCTGAGCCCCCAGGCCCAGCAAATCATTCAAAAAGGGACATTGAATTTACTCCTCTTATGCGCTGTGGGTTAATTCACTGGGCTGCAAAGTCGGTTTGAACTGCAAAGTTAGCAGTTTAAGTTCATCAGCTGCTCCTTGGAAGCTCTATACAGGGTCGCTATGGGTTGAAACCACTCAATGGCATATAACAACAAACAACACATCAGTTAGCTAAGGAGCCCTGGTGTTGCAATAGTTAAGTGCTTGGCTAGTAACTTGATAGGTTGGTGATTCGCACCTACCAAGGGTTCTTGGGGGAAAAAAGAAGTGGCAATCTTCTCCCATAAAGAGCATAGCCTGGTAAACCCTCTGGAGCCATTCTACTCTGTCACATGGGATCAGTATGAATTGGAATCAACAGGTCGGCTCTCAACAACAACACCAGTTAGCTAATGTTTTGTAACAAATCATCCTAAACTCGGTGGCCTGCAACAACAACCCTGTATGATCATTTCCATGTCTGTGGGTTGGCCAGAGTTCAGCTGATCTAGATTGGGCTTGACAGTTATTGTTGTTGTTGTTAGGTGCCATCGAGTTGGTACCGACCCATAGCGACCTTATGCACAGCAGAACGAAACACTGCCTGATCCTGGGCCAACCTCACTACTGTTTGCCACACTTGAGTCCATCGATGCTGCCACTTGGCTAATCCATCTCGCTGGAGGTCTTCCTCTTGTTCTCTGACCCTCCACCTTACCAAACAGGATATCCTTCTTCAGCAACAGGTCCCTCCTGACAATATGTCCAAAGTAGGAGAGATGAAGTTTGGCCATCCTGGCCTCTAAGGAGCACTCTGGCTGCACTTCTTCAAAAATGGATCTATTGGTTCTTTTGGCAGCCCATGGCACTTTCAATATTCTCCTCCAACACCATAACTCAAAGGCATCAATTCTTGTACGGTCTTCCTTATTCACTATCCAGCTTTCTCATGGGCTTGACAGTGGAGGACAATAACTAATAAAATGCTTGTTCCCAGTCATTTTTCTTCATTTCCCTTCAGCAAAGCCAGTGGCAACTTTGACGTGAGTGTGGAAGGCATCTCTGTTTCAGCCGATCTGAAGGTGGGTAGTGACCTTTCTTCAGGGCATGCCACCATCGCCTGCTCCAACTGTAGCAACAGCATCAGTAGTGTGCATGTGGACATCTCGGGCAGCCACCTAGGGTATGATCCCCTGGGGCTGGGACGAGGGGAGGGAACTTAAGGAGACCTGCCCCATCCTGCCCCCATTCTGAAAGTACATCCTGAGTGCTTCCCCATTGCATAGGGGAAGGGGGGAAGATCAGGAGAAGTGACCATAGTCCTTGCCTCCAGGTGTAACTTATTCATTCAAATTCTTCAGCATACTTTGCTGAGCACTTACTATATACCCCAGGCTCTGTGCTAGACACTTTATATGCTTGAAAAAATAAAATCCTCACCACAAATTGAAAGTCCATCATCCATCCCTCCTTTCAACAAGCATCTATCTGCCACTCTGCTATGCACCAAAGGCATGGTTATGAGCTTGGCTGCTAACCACAAGGTGGGTGGTTCTGACACATCCAGTGGCACCCTGGGAGAAAAGACCTCATGATCTGCTCTCATAAAGATTACAGCATAGGAAACCTTATGGGGCACGTCTACTTGGTTACATTGGGTTACTGAGAGTCAAAAATCAACTTGATGGCACCCACTGTGCCAAGTGCTCAGGAAACAGCAGTGACCAGTAAATATTGAGGAATTACTCACATTGATTGGAAGGAGCCCTGGTAGCATTGTGGACTAAGCACTGGGCTGCTAATCACAAGGCTGGCAGTTCACACCCACCAGCATCTCCTGGGAGGCTTGCTCTGTGCCAAGCACTGCTTTAAGCACATGCATTATCTCAAGAATTCAGTCCACACCAGGGTTCTTTGAGGTTGCTCTATTATCATCCCATTTTTAAAGAGAAAACTGAGGCACAGAGATGACAGGAAATAATCCAAGTTTCCATAGGTGGTGAGTGTTGAGGGATTTAAACCGTAGACTGTAGCTTCCCAGTCCCATTCTCTTGATGTTTCTAGCCCAATGAAGAGATAGACATGAAGCAGTTTATGCATTCATGTGGCTCATAGGTAATTACAAAATGAGGTAAAAACAGAAGAGCTGCACGGTTCTGTGAGAACATAAAACAGGGAGATCTGGCCCCCAGTCCTCCCATGAGGAAAATATGTTTGAATTGAGGTGAAAAGAAAAAGTAGGAGTTAGGTAGGTAGATATTGAGGGCAGAGGAAAGAGCATGTGCAAAGGTCCTGTGGTGGAAGGAAGTCTAGAACACAAGTGCTCATGGCAGGCCAGAGTAGTTGGAAAGCAGAGAGAGTGGGGAGAGGTGAGGAAGGAGCCAGAGGCCCTGCAGCTCATGAGGGAATAATCCCATAAACATGTTACACCACACAGGGTGAGGGATGCCTAATATATTTGCACAGTTGGAGCCCAAGGACAAGCATGACCAAGTCTATTTGGAGGAGGGAGAAATGCAGAGGAGCAGGCCTCTGGAATCAACCCAGGGGCACCTGGGAAACCTCATACATGTCTTTATGTGTTCATCTCCAGGTGGCTCATCAAGCTCTTCCACAAAAAAATTGAATCTTCTCTCCGAAAAGTCATGAACAGCAAGGTAGGCAGGGTGGGGAGTCTCATCTAGCGTCAGACCAGGACACACCTTCTTTGTCCACAGCCTTCATGCTTTGAAACCACAAATCTGGTTCTAAAAGTCAGCCATAGCTGTTTTATTGATGCTTCCACTGAGGGCCGGAGAAGAGCATCACGTCACACAACCCACAGTGAACTGCCCCTTATTCCCATGTAAATCCCCTTATTTCTTCCTCAACACTTCTCCCAGGCTTTCCCTGCCAGCCCTCTCTTCCCACAGCTTCCTTGAGTCCCACTGCCTGCCTTTACACACCCCACTGTGCCCTAAACTCCCCCTTGCCCCTCCCCATCAGCAGACATGCAACTGATGAAGTTGCCAAACTGGACTTGACCAAACCCTAGTTGTAACCCATTCCTTGAGGATGGAACTGATATGAGAGGTGGCATAGTTAATGTCCTCCAACCCCACTCATAATCTGAACCCCACTCAGCAGTTCCATCAGATAAGAAAAAGGGCCATTAATTCGTCTGGTGCTCTATTTGTGTCCAAAAATTACACCTCAGCCAGTTTTGCAGGAAAAGCCCCCGAAAACTTGAGTTAAGGAGCCATTGAAGGTTCTAGGCAAGGGGCTGTCCAGACAAGATGTGTGCTTTCTGGGTGCTATGAGAATAAACCTGAGGGCCCAAAAGTGGGAGTAGGAATAGGCTTGTGTAGTCTTCTAAGCAGGAAAAATTGGTTTCCCAGTCATGGTGCTAACAATATGGGTAAGGAGATATCAATCAAATAAAATTCATCTGTCTGAACGCACTCTATCAAAAGATTTTAAAAATCAATGCATTATTGTCAAGTTATAAAACCCAGTGAATTAGAGGATTGGTTTTGGGGCCAGAAACCTCTGGGTTTTGCTCTGGCACTAGGGTTGGCTTTACTAGCTGTATGATCTTGGGCAGATGACTTTTCTGAGTCTCAGTTTCACTGTTTGTAAACTGGGGGCATGAATACTTTGATGCATTTGAATTACGATATTGGCAAAGAATACTGAACATATATATCATGGACTGTTAAAAGAATGAACAAATCTATCTCGGAAAAAGTACAGCCAGAAAGATCCTTAGAAGCCAGGATGGTGAGGCTTTGTTTCACATGCTTTGGACATGTTATCAGGAGGGACCAGTCTCTGGAGAAGGACATCATGTTTGGTAGAGGGTCAGTAAAAAAAGAGGAAGACCCTCAGTGTGATGAACTGGCACAGTAGCTGTAACAATCGTGAGGATGGCGCAGGACCGGGCAGTGTTTCCTTCGGTTGTATGTGGGGTCGCTGTAAATTGGAACTGACTCTGTAGCACCTAACCATACCTTCTTTACCAGGGTGTTGTGAAAATTACTGAGACACCTTGGGCAGTGTGACAGTGACAATGACAGGAGAAGTAGTAAGGGTGGTGACAATGACAAGATGATGAGGAAGAGAGAGGATAATGGTGAGGGTGACGAAGGCTTATGCATGGAGTACTGGTGTGGTGCTGTGAGAAAAGTGCTGGACTGCTAACCACAAAGTTGGCAGTTCAAACCCACCAGCCGCTCTTCAGAAATCCTGTACAGGGTAGCTCTGAGTTGGAACTGACTCGACAGCACTTAACAACAATAATAGCAACACACATGCATAGTACTATGCTATGGTACACTAGAAGGCACTGGACGACGCATGTTACTATCCTGCAAACTCTTCGTGCATTCTAGCACTTAATCCACACAGAACCCCGAAAGGCAGAATGCCATGAATAACCCCCATTTCACAGATGAGGAAACTGAGGCACAGAGAGGAAGTAATAGTGCTGGAATTCAAACCCAGGCCTCCCTACCCCAGAGGCAAAGCTGGTAATTATAACAAGATACTGTTTAGAAGGGAGCTGGCATAGTAGAGTGAGGTTTCTGGGTATCCAGGATGCAGGAGGGGCTAGGGATTCCATTCCCAACAAATAGGGAGGAAAAGCTGGATTCTCTGTAAAGCGGGGTCCAGAGGTGAGGCCTCCGGCTGTGATTTACTGTGGTTTGGAGCCATCTGCTGGCCCTGAGGGCTGGTAGCTGATGGGCAGCCTGGGTGTACAGAGATGCCCTGGCTGCTTGATGGCTACTCCTTCCAGCCCTGGCCCACTTGGAGAAGTGGAAGGGAACGATGCTCTGGGTCTCAGGGTACCCAGCATCTGATGGGACAGAAATATACTCCTTTTTTCCCTTCATCCCTTCCTCTTTCCTTCCCTGCCTCCTTCCCCAGACAGGACACGACAGTGGGGAGGGAGGGGAGGGAGCAGGGGGACTGACTTCTGGACAGATGCTGGCTCCAACCCTGAGGAGCAGCAAGACCCTGAAGAGTTTGGTTTGGGGGAGACACCCAGGGACATTGTCTAGGAAGCAGCGAGGCCCCAGGCTGGAGCTCAGGGGAGAGGCCTGGGCTGCAAACCCAGGTCTGGGTGCTGACTACATATTGGGAACCTTTGCTTGGGTTCCTCCAAGACAGATGCTGAGACAAAGATTTGGGTCTAGGTGGTTTATTCAGAAGAGGGTTCAGGCAGCCTGGTGAGGGCATGGGAAGGGGAGACAGGAAATGTGCCTTCATTAGTGTTTTACTGCTGTGAGCACCTGGGACCCAGTCATGCTGGGGAGTCTCAGAGGAACTGTGTGGATCAAAAGACTGGGGCAGTTATCCATCCACTAGTGTTTCTCTTTGGTTGAGGAGTATTTCTGGGAGGAGGGGAGGGTTAACTTTGTCACCCTTCTGAGCAGTTCGAGCCAGATAGCTGCAGAAAGTCCTCTGCAGGGAGATGCAGATGCTGGGGGCAAGAAGCCATCGTGTGGAGGGCAACTGTTCATAACAGGTGCCCGTGACCTCCAAGTGGGCTTTGTGGATCCAGATGGGCACCAAGAGCATTTGCTACAGGGGTCACGGGTAAGCATGAAATGGCTCGGGGTGAGGGCACAGAGTGGAAGGAGTGGGGGGCTACGAAAGCCCCAATGAGCTCCAATGTGTACAGCCAGGGCAGAGAAGCTCACAAAGTGAGTCTGAGGAAGAGTGACCAGAGGGACAGGAGGAAAGCCCAGAATCCTTGATCCTGGGACTCTAAAAAGAGCAGTTATAGGAGAAGAGAATGGTCAGCCATGCCAGGAGCCTCTCTAAAGTCTAGAAAGCAAGGGTTCAGGAGACTTGGTTGGATTATTGAGGTGAAGGCTGTGACCCCCATCTCCACCCCCACCCCAATCTCTTAAATTAGAGACAACTGTCATTTTAATCCTATGTTCCAATTATCTACTGCTTCAAAACAACTCCCAATTTAGTGGCATAAACCAGTCTGTCAGTTTGTCCTACGTGGTAGGTTGTGGGTTGCTGTGATTCTGGAAGCTATGCCACGGGTATTTTAAATACCAGCAGGCTCACTCATGGTAGACAGGTTTCAGCTGAGCTTCCAGACAAAGACAGACTAGGAAGAAGGAGACAGACTATTTTCAAATATTTAGTCATGGAAAACCTTATGAATAATGCTCATAGGTTCTGTAAATCTAGAAGCTTGTCAGGAACAACGGGAATGGCTTAATTTCAGATGTCTGGGGCCTCTTCTGGGAACACTCAAAAGCTGGGGCTAGGATCATCTGGAAGGTTCCTCTCTCATGTGTCTGCTGCCTGGGCAGGATGACATGAAGGCTGTGCTCATCTGGGACTGCTGACCAGAGCAGATACTCATGGCCTTTCTAAGTAGCTTGGCTTCCCACAGTCAGGGGCTGCATTCTGAGAGGGAGCAACCAAGAGACCAAGATGGAAGCCAAACAACCTTTTATGACCTCGCTTCTAAAGTTACGCTATGTCACTTTTACCACATTCTACAGGTTACAAGGAGCTCTGGTGTGGCGCTGTGGGCTAATGAGTCAGACTGTAGAGTTGTTTGAACTGCAAGGTCGGTGATGGTTCAAGCTTACCAGCTGCTCCTTGGAAACCCTATACAGGGTCACTATGGGTCTGAATTGACTCGATGGCACTTAACAACAAATTAAGGTTACAAGCAAATCACAAACCTGTCCAGATTCCAGGAGAGATTCTCAGTCCTCACCTCTGGCTGGGGGCATACAAGGTCACAAATAGAAGAGCAAGTAGAATGGGAAACATCACCTGCCACAGTCCATTTTATGGACAAGGAAATGAAGCTCTAGAGAAATGGAGGGATTTCCTCAGTGATAGTCAGCATGTGAGGAGCTCTGACAGTGTAGTGGTTACAAATTGGGCTGCTAACTTCACAGTCAGCAGTTCGAAACTACCGGCTGTTCCATCGGAGAAAGATGAGGCTTTCTGCTCCTGTAAAGATTTACAGCCCCGGAAACCCTGTACAGGGTCACTATGAGTCAGAACTGATTCCATGGCACATAATGACAACAATAAGTCAGCATGTGACCCAGGTCTTTTCAGTCAGTAATTGTTCCCCTGAGAGTCATGTAGGGTTGGGGCCAAGAAGAGCTTCTAAGCTTCCTGGTGGCCAGAGAGAAAAGGGAAACTTGATTAGCAACATGGTTTACAAGGAAAGGATAGCATCTCCTGCCATTAGTCATGAAGGGCATGTTCCACGCTTGGCCCTCACTGATCACTTCTTCTCCACAGATCTGTGAGGTAGTGACCAGCATTGTGGCCTCTAAGCTGCAACCTTATTTCCAAACTCTGCCAGGTAAGGACTTCGTGGGGGTCAAAGAGGGGCAACAGGGTGGGTGGATGGAATCAACAAGTTTCCCAAACAGGCCTGGGAATGGGTAGAGTAGATTCTTTTCAAATGGCAATTGGCATTCGATTCCTATTGAGTCAGGTCCAGAATCCCGTCCAAAAAGCAGCCCACATTTCATCCATTTTCCCTCCCCAGCATGGGCCAAACACCCAAATACTCCCCAGCCCTCTGAGGCCAACGCCACACTGGCTGAGATCTGAGGAGGGTCACCTCTCTTTTGGCCTCAGTCTCCCTGTCCCCCAGTGCTTGGGGAAAAATTCCCTCAGGCCCAGTGCTGACCTCCTGCTATTAGCTCAGTTGAATTACCTCCCCTCAGACTCCCGACACCCCACCGAGTTAAGTATTCTCTCCATTTTACACATGAGGCAGCTGATGCCTAGAGAGGATCTATGGCTTGTGCAAGACCACCAAGGTTAGTAGGGGACAGAAGTAGGATTAAAATCCAGGTTTTCTTACTCTAGAGCCTGTGCCCCAAACAGCATGGTGGTCCCAGGATATGTGCCCATTTGAGACGCACTTTCTTCCTGCAGATACCAATCCTGGCTCCCTAGGGGTAGGGGCTCACCCTGTGCAGGTTCAGTACAGTCGTAGAGTCTAAGATTTGATCTCATCGGGCAAGGAAACAATTCTAGTTTGAGTCCAAGCCTGTCACTCCATTGTGCCACCTGGGACAACTTGTCATTTCTGAGCCTCAGTTTCTTCTGACATGGGGGAAAGGAGCCACTGGTGGTACAGTTACAGCATTTGGCTGCTAGCCAATCAGTTGGCGATTCAAACCCACTCAGGTACCTCAGAAGAAAGGCCTGGCTATCTGTTTCCCAAAGGACACGGCCATTGAAACCCCTGTGGAGTAGAGTTCTACTCTGACACACATGGGGTTACCATGAGTCCAAGTTGAGTTAACAGCAACTTGTTTGGCTTTTGACTTAACATGGAAAGGAAGTGGTAAGGAACAGCCTTGGTACTTACTGAATTCTCATTGGTGGTTACTGGGAAACAGAGAAGCAGTTGAGACCTAAGTCTTGTCTTACACCTTCTCATATAATACCCACACATCTGTGAGGTCACTTGTAGACCCCATTCTACAAATGACAGAGAGGCTCAGAGAAGTACAAGGACTTACCCAAGGTGACACAGTTGGTATCTGTCCGCTCAACCCTGTGCCCATCTGAGGACTGTTGGAATGAGATGAGTCTGTGAGTATGGGGAGGGGGGGTTCATTTTCCTTTCAGAGACACTCAGTGGGGGTTCCCTGAGGAGGTGAGAAGGAAGCTAGCCTTGCAGTTTCTGATCCAGTACTAGGGGATACTGGCCTGTGGCCCAGTCTCCAGGGGCATAGCCCTGGAGGTCCAGTTCGTGGCCTATCTTCTTTTCCTTTAGTGACAGCCAAAATAGATGAAGTGGCTGGGATCGATTATTCACTGGTGGCACCTCCAGCAGCCTCAGCGGACAGCCTGGATGTACAACTGAAGGTACGGCTGACACCACTAATTATGTGCCCTCAACACCTCCACGGGGACTCTACAGCAACACTGGGAACAAATTTTATAGTAGTGTCCTCCCCCCCACTTCCCTCTGCTCCTCTGTACCCTGCTCTCCCGGCTCTGGTCACATTGGCTATCCCTCTGCTCCCTCCCCCAGGCCTTCACATTTACCTTCTGCTTAGTCTGGATGCTTTCCCCAGATAGTCCACACAGCCCTTGCTTGCTTCCTTCCAGTCTTTGCTCAAATGTCACCTCCCCAGAGAGGCCTTTCCTAACCACTTGTCCCTGAAATAGCCCCTCCTCTCTCTCTCACTAGACAGAGAGAAGGGTCTGTGGCTGCTTTGTTCACTCCTGTGCACATACAGTAGTATCTGCAGTACTTAGAACTATGTTTGGCATGCAGTTGTTGTTGTTAAGCGCCATCGTTTCCGACTATGGCGGCACTGTGTAAGGTTTCTGAGCAGTGGCTGGTGGGTTTGAAACACTCATCTTGCTGTTAGAAGTCCAGTGCTGTACATAGTAGGTACTCAGTATAGTTTCATCGGCTACAGGGAAGGGCTAGGAGAATGAGGCTTCTTCTCCCTTAAATATTAGATTCTCAGAAACCTGAGGAAGCAACTCTACTCTGCCCTATAACGTTACTATGAGTTGAAATTGACTCGATGGGGGGAGGGAGGGAAAGAGGGAAGAAGGAAAGGAGGAAATAGGGGAAACAGGGCTGGAGGGTGGATAGATGGATGGAGGTGGATGAATGGATGGATGGAGGTGGATGGATGGATGGATGAAGTAGATGAAAAGATGATGGAGGTGGAAGAATAAATGGATGGATGGAAGTGGATAAATGGATGGAGGTGAATGGATGAATGGAAGTGGATGAATAGATGATAGATGGAGGTAGATGATGGAAAAGAAGGAATGAGGGAAAAGGGAGAGAGGGAGGGAAAAAGGACAACAGATGGAGCTGTAGAGGGATGGAGATGGATAAAGGGAGGATAGAGGAGGGAATGGAGCTAGAGAAGGAAAGAGGGAGGAAGTGGATGAGGGCTAATGGGTGGATGGAGGGATGGCAGATGGATAGGTGGAAGAAGGGATAATGTTTCATCGTGTGCACCCTAACGGGATACATTGGCCTTACACTTACTCAAAATGGTTTACTTCTCTTTTAAAATCAAATTTGATAGATTAAAAGGCAAAACAGAATTTTAATTGTCGTTTTCACAGGGTGTCTGTTGAGACTGAGCCAGTGAAGTGGGTAAGAGTGTGCTCTCTCAGCCATGAATGCCTGGATTGAATTCCTGGCTCTGCTGTGTGACCCTGGAAAAGTCACTTAGCTCCTCTGTGCCTGTGAAATATGCACAATTATACCTACCTCACAGGATTGTCTCTAAAGCTCTTAGAAACTAGTTCATAGGAGGTATCTGATGCACAAGTGTTCTTGTTAGTTTCAGGCCCTCTCTTTCCTCTGTGACTGTATCACTGGTGTTCTCAGCCCATTTTTTTCAGGATGGGGACACAGAATTATGACCCTTGAAGGATTCTCAGGCTCACTCCATTCTTTTCACCCCCAGGGGGAGTTTTTCAGGTTGGCCCACCGCACACCACCTCCTTTTGTCCCATCAGCACTCACTTTTCCTACTGACCACAACCGAATGGTCTACCTGGGCATCTCCGACTACTTCATCAATACTGCTGGGCTTGTGTACCAAGAGGCTGGTGTCCTGAACCTGAACCTCACAGACGACATGGTAGGGTGGGGCTGGAGGTGGGGGTGGAAAGAGTACTAGTCTTTCAGTCTGGAGACATCTGGGCCTGACTTTGAATATTAGCCTACCACTGTCCAGCTGGGTGAGTCAGCCTCACTCAGCCTCAGTTTCCTTGTCTGTAAAATATCAGCAGCAGCATCTTCTTCAGAAGGGTTAAATGAGATATCTATGTATGAGAAATCCACTTGGCATGCTGGAAATACTCAGTCATAAAAGTGACAGCTACCTTTGAGAACCTGCCCTATGCCAGGCTCCATGACTCAGTCCTAGCATCATCTCACTGTCTCTATCACCTGTCATGGCTGACTCCCACTCGGAGCCTCAGCTTGCCCATCTGTAAAATGAATGTAGTAACAGCTTAATCCCAGTGTGGTCTCCAACCATGTGGGTTTATCCTAGACTGCTCCTGGAAGAGATGCCAGGTCCACCAAACCTACAGGGCACCCAAGGGAGGCTGTAGAAGTAAGCACAGACCATCCAAATGAAAACAAATGAGTTCTGATTCAGAGCAAGGGAGTCACCCTACATCACTCGTTTGACAGAGACTCCAGTGAGGGCAGGCAGAAGAGTGGGGAATTGGAGACAGACTAACTAAAAGAAGGTATCTTATGGGGTTGGTCTGGGAAACATACTTGGCTTTGTCAGGGACAAAAAGCAGAGAAGGCCGCAGTCCCCTTGTGCAGACTCTGCCCCTTACCCACACAGAACAATCCCCCATGCTCCTTTTCTCTTCTCGCTACAGATTCCTAAGGAATCCCAATTCCGACTGACAACCAAATTCTTGGGAAGCCTTATCCCTCAGGTATGAAAAAGGCGCAGTCTCCTTTTCTGCTAAGTCAGCTCATGAGACTGTCTGGGCTCTGCTGAGGGGCCTCATGTGCTTCCCCTTGCTCCCAGATCTAGAGGTAGCCCACTCACCATGAGAGAGTGGCAGTGGTTTCTTGCAGTCTCTTTCCCATACAGAGAAAGCCTCCAGCCTCAGCTGGCCAGGTGTGAGAGTGGACATTAGGGGCTCATCTACCCCAAAACTATTTGAATGCCCACTATGTACCTGGGGCCTTGTGCTGGGAACCTAATAGAACAGACCAGGTCCCTGCCCTCCTGGAGTAGAGTTCACAGCCCAGCAGAGAGAGAAAAGCTGCATTCAGGTGCACAAAGCAATGCAAAAGAATGGCAGATTATAGTAGAGAAACCAACAGATTGATGAAGCCACTCTGGCGGTGGCATCTCCAGAAATTTCTATACTTGTATAGGAGACACAGGTTGGGTTGGTCGGAATGCCAAGGGGATTCTCTTGAGGCCTCACTCACATAGAAATCACATTTATTTTACTGGGAGCTTATCTGGGGGAGGTTGGAGGTGAGCAGAGATGGAGGGGTTCATGGAGGCCTTCCTCAGTTCTCACTTACAATACTGCTGCTCTCTGAGGAAGTGACAACTGAGCTGAGACCTGGAGCCAAACTTAAAGAGGACTGTGGGGCCAGGCATTCAAGCAAAGGGAACAGAGAGTGCAGAGGGTCTTAAATAGGAAAAAGCTTATCTTGTTTAAAGAAGAGAAAGGATCTGGGTAGCAAATGGGAGAGGCTTGGAGTGAGATTGGATTTAGTCTGGGGCAGTGGTAAGATGTTGGAGGTGTTTACTTATGCTGGTCCAGGAAGTGATAAGATTTGAGAACATTTTGTAACTACTTTCTTGTCGGTCATCCTCACTGGGCCCTGCAGGTGGCCAGGAGTTTCCCGGATATGAAGGTGCAGCTGCTCATCTCCGTCTCCTCCCCCCCCCACCTCTCTGTGGACCCCAGCAGGCTCACCCTCACTCCTCAGCTGGAGGTCCAGGCCTTTGCCATCCTCCCCAATTCTTCTCTGGCCCCACTCTTCCAGCTTGGCTTGGTAAGTTATCCCCAGATAGGGGCAGATGGGGTGAACCCAGGTCCCAAACAGACAGAAAGTCCTGGGCATGACTGAGCACCTGTCCTACGTGTACAGGGACCCAGGTGTGAATCCTGCCCACATTAAGGCCTGAACCACTAGATTCAACTGCCGCTGGCTCCTACAGGCCTTTGTGCCTGCAGTCTTTATTTGTATACTTGTTTACTTATGCATTCAATTATTCATCCACTCCATTTTTTATTCATTCACTCTATTTTTAAATTGTTCAATGATTCATCCCATTGTTGACTTGAATATTTTGCAATGTTTCTGATTCATGTATGCATTTAGTCATTCATTCAGTCATAGCTTCAGTCATTCCATCATTCATTAGCTCCTTCATTCATTTATCCATTCATGCATATCATCTTTGATCATTCATTTGTGTCTTTGTTTATACAGTCATCCATTTATTCATTCAATTATTCCTTCTACTATTCATTCTGTTGCTGACTTGAAATATGGTAACTGCTTCTGGTTCAAATATGCATTGATTGAATTGTTCACTTACCCACTCACTTACACCTTTATTTAATCAGTCATTCATCTGTATAGTCCATTCATTCATTCATTCATTCATTCATTCATCCATGCATATCTCTATTCATCCATTCTCATATTTGTTTAGTCTTTCATTTATTAAAGTTTTCATTCCATTGATTTGTGCATTCATTCGTTCATTTGCTCATTTCATTATCCCATAAACATTTGGTAGCACCCACGATGACCACTAGGGATGTGGTCTAGTCCCTCTTCTCACCATGAGGCATAGACCTATCTTGGTGGTATTTGCAGGTCCCAGGCAGGTCTGGGATAGAGACCCAGTATTCAACTTTGGACTGTGGCACTGTAGGATAAGCACTGAACTGTGGACCACAAGGTTGGAAGTTCAGATGCACCAGCTGCTCCTCAGAAACCATATACATGTGTCAGAATCAACTCCACCACACTTAACAACATCAACAATATCCCCACTTTGCAAATAAAAGGGGTCCTGTGGGTGTCACTGGCCTAAGGTCATACAGAAAGTGAGTAGGAAAACTGAGGTGGGAACCTGGGTTTTCTGACTTGGTGAATACTTGCTGAATGAATAAATGAATTAAGACACGAGGACTGACCTTGGTCCATCTAACAGATTCCATCCAGGAAATGAGGGGAATTCTGAAATCATCCCGGATGCAGGGAGGAGAAAACTGTAATTGGCTAACTAACAGTCCAGGATTTATCAACAGCAGCAAAGCAAGAGGGCTCCTTTCCCCTGGGTTCAGTGGGTCAGGCCCAGTGGTGGCGCTCTCTGTTGAGCCTATGTGAAGCAGTCCTTGTGGACAGAGGGTTACAGGAGTTTGGAAGCCTTGAGGCCCCTGGGCTCCTGGGTAAAGGGTTTAACCTTCTTGGTTGTATCTTTGCAGAGCATGAACGTTTCTGTGGAGGTTGGTGCCAAGTCCAACCGGCTTGTTGGAAAGCTAATGATAGATGAGTAAGTGGGTCTGTGGAGGAGGGGCTGCCCATCCAGTCTTGGTGCCCATATGATAGCAAAGACCCCACAATGTGCATTCCTGTTCACCCCTCACAGTAAGCCTCAAACAGTGAGAGAGGGACACAATTATCCCCATTTCACAGACAGTAAGACTGATGCAGGTCACACGTCACAGATTGCCCAACCTTCTCCACTTGCCAAAGAATGTCCCAGTTTGGGCACTGAAGTCCCACATCCTGGGAAATCCTTCAGTCTCGGGTACACCCTCCCCACTGGAAGTGCCACAGTGATGATTCTACCCCTCCCTGACCACCACAGCTCCCAGCTACCCTGCATTCTTGGTCTCTTGAGCCTTGGAAACTCTCCTTCAGCTTCCTCATGCCCCATCCTTCAGACTTAGCCTGCACCTCCTGGGAGAGTTCAGGACCCAAGGGCCCGAGTCCAAATCCCAGCAGTGGCAGTTGTAGTGGGACTGTGGGTTCAGTGATGAGGCTTTATGTCAGAGTTGGCTCACCTTGGCAAATGCCCAAATTGTCTGGCATCAGTTTCCTGGACTGTCACATGACTATTCTTTGCCAGCAGCATTGCTATGAGGATGAAGTGGGGGGACTGGTGTGTGTGAAGTGTTTGCCACTCTTCTGGGGATATGATAAATGCTCAATAAGCAGGAGGAAAAGAGACAGAGGGGATGAACAGAAAAAGGGAAGTACCACAGTAGAGGAAGACAGAGAAGAGGGACACAGAGGGAGACAAAAGGAGATAGAAAGAAGAGACAGAGGAGAGACCGAGAGGTAGGGACAGTAAGGACAGACAGATGGAGAGACACAGAAAGACAGAGAGACATAAAGCAGGACCACCCCCTCCAGTTATTACTCTGAAGAAATCTTTAATCCATGAACCGAAATTGTCTTCTGAAGTCATTATAGAACCCAGTAATGCCCAGTTAGAACAGGATGTCTGCATAAAGAATGGTCTGTACAACGTGTTCAAACTGGCAGTAGCGGTTAGGAAGGATAGATGAACAGCTTAGGGGAGCCGTGAGGTTGTGTTAGTGATGGTGAAACTGTTGTGAAAAGGTTGTTGAGAAGGGCAGTTCGACTGGAATGTCAGCCCTGTCACTGGATTGTACATGTAGAAACTGTTGATGTGGTGAGTGTTTCATGGGGCAGATTTTCACACACACACAGATTAAATTAAAAAGGGAGGAGAGGGGGACAGGGAGGAGCCACAGAGATGCAGAGAGAGAGGTGGACACTCAGAGAGCAGATGTGATGACCCCAGCATCTGGACCCAGGCACTGGCCTCCTCACCACAGCCACACTGTTTAAATTGTGTCTTGACCCCCACGCTCCGGTTTCTGTCTGCTTCGGGCTCAGTGCTAGCCTTCTTCACCTTGAGATCAGCAGGACCTCTCAGTGGAGGAGCTGGAGAGGCCTGAGCTGAGCACAGCCATATCCAAGTGTGCAGGGTGGGTTGGGGGAGAGAATTCAGAGGATAGGGGTCCTTGGTGAGCAAGTCTTTGTAGGGTGCTGAAGGCAAGGGCTTTGACATAGGGAAGCCTGAGTTGGAAATCCTGTTTTGCTAATTGATAACTATGTGACTCTGACCTCTCTATCAGTTTTCTCCTCTGTAAAATGGGAATGTGATGGCCCTTGCTCTTGGGGTGTTGCAGGAATTCAGGGGAATAAAGCAACCAGTGGAGTCCTGGTGTGGCTCTGTGGGTTAAGGCATCAGACTGCAAAGTCGTTTGAACTGCAAGGTCGGTGGTTCAAGCTCACCAGCTGCACTTTGGAAACCCTATACAGGGTCACTGTGGGTCAGAATTGACTCTACAGCACTTAACAATAACAAAACAGTGACTGATTGTTGTTGTTAAGTGCCATGCAGTCAGTTCCAACTCAAAAGACTCTGCATAGCGTTTCTGAGGCTTTTACAAAGCCTTTGTGGGAGCAGAAAGTCTCATTTTTCTCCTGTGGAGTGGTTCATGGGCTCAAATCACTGGTCTTGTAGTTCACAGTCTAGTGCTTATCCTATGGAGCCACCAAATTGTCATATATGTTGTTATTAAGTGCCATTGAGTTGGTTCTGACTCATAGCAACCCTGTATAGGGTTTCTGAGGGACAGTTGGTAGGCTTGAACTTCTTACTTTGTGTTTCAGAGTCCAGTGCTGATCCTACAGTGCCACACCAGGATGGAATAAAAAGTAGAGCTTTTCCACAAACTTTTTGATGCCCCCTCATATTTCCCCCTTGGTCTTGGATGACTGTTAAAATGTCACAGTGATTGTAAAGGGGAATTTATTAACTGAAGCTCCCCAGGGTTTTATACAAGGTGGATCCACGTGTTCAAGTGGTATCACTAGGAATCTCTTTCCTCTCCTGGCTCTGCTATTCTCTGCACTGGCTTCACCAGGCTGTCACCAAATGGTGACAAAGCACCACCAGCAATTTCCTAATTTTCCTGGAGAAAAGAGAATACCTAACTCTGAATATTTCCAACAGAAGTACTTGGACCAACTCTTATTAAGCTAGCCTGGGACACTGGCCCAACCTTAACATGGTCGCTGTGACAAGGGAGGGGAGCTGTGCCCTTTATCCTAGTCTGGGGCTCCGGGTAGGACAAGCAGCATTCAAACAATGTGGCTTTAGAAGGAAAACCCAGGAAGCTGTGAACAGATAAAGTGGGCTTGCATACTGAGCCAGGCAAGCAGTGGTGTCCTCTGGAGTGAGCCCTTTCTTCTACCTGGTTCTGCAGCTAGCAACTGGAAGCTTGTCAGAATAATCTTAACCACCACCCTCCTTTTCCACAGAGTGCACCTGGAGCTGAAACACTCAGATGTTGGCCCCTTCTCGGTGAGTCTGAGGGCCTAGGTGTCTCTTTCCTTTCCTGAGTCCTGGGGGGATTGTCTTGAGGGCTACCTCCAAGCTCCTGACATTGGAACAGGCCACTGGCTTATGTACATATAGTGGCATTAGACAAGTCACCTTCTATCTCTGAGCTTCAGACTTTCCCCATAAATCAAAGCTAGCCCTACTACCTGACTTGGTATGGTGAGGTTTAAACCTGTATAACAAATGTTTGTTGAATGAACAAGTTACTTTATTGAGCACCTACTATCCTGGTGTGATGCTGTGGGCTAATGTGTCAGACTTCAAAGTCATTTGAACTTCAAGGTCAGTGGTTCAAGCTCACAAGCTGATCCTTGGAACCCCTATACAGGGTCGCTATGGGTCGGAATTGACTCGACGGCACTTAACAACAACTATGTTGCCAAGCAGATGAACAAGACAGGGAATCAACCTCTTCTCAGAGCTTTACAATGTGGTGGGAGACAGCCAAGAGAGAACTGAAGATCACTTCAGTCATAACCAACCCTATGAAGAAACAAAATGGGGTTGAGGTAGCAAGTGATGGGGAGTTAAGGCCTAGATGGTATGATCAATGAAGGCCTCTCTAAGGAGGTGATACTTGAGCCAAGTCCTGAAGGATGAGAAGAAACCAGCAGGAGAAGATGTGCTGTAGGCAGAGGGAAAACAGCAGGGCATTTGAGGAGCCTAAGAGGGGCTAAAGCAAGTAGGGGGTGAAGAAGGGGATGCCGCCAGAGAGGCGGTGGCTGCTGGCCTGCTCAGGCCTTCTGGACCAGGAGAGGGGAAGGAAGACTGTGTCTGAAGGGCAGTGAGAAGGTGACAAACTGTTTCATGCAGGAAGTGACGTGATCTGATAGGCATCTTTATAAAGGAGTCCTGGCTGCTGTGAGGGCATGAGTGACCCGGGACAAAAGTCAGGCAAGGGAGACGAGAGGGGAGATGATTGGACCTGGGACTCAGTTGGGAATGTGCAATAGGGGCAGATTTTGACACAGCAGTAGGCAGTCCTTGGTGAGAGATTTGATGTGTGTGGTGAGGGAAAGGGAATTAGAAATGACTCCTAGATTTGTGACTTGAACTATGGGATGCAGTCCTTGGGTGGCACACATGATGAAGCACTTGACTGTTACATAAAAGATAGAAAGTTCTAGTCTACCCAAAGTTACCTTGGAAAAAATCCTGGTAATCTACTCCTCCCTCAAAAAAAAAAAATAATAATAATAATAATCAGCCATTGAAGACCCTGTGAAACATAATTCTGCTCTGACAGCGTGGAGTTATCATGACTTAGAATCAACTCAAAGGCATCTGAGAGGGAAAAAAGCCGAGTGCGGCATGGAACAGTGTATTGTGCCGAGGAAACAACAGCGGAGCGCGAGAGAAGCAAGTATCAGCCCAGTCTGGGGAGAAAGTCCACTCTTTGGGAATCCCTGACCATTAATCAATAGGCTGCCCTGCTGCCCTCACCTGGGATACTGATAGCAAGTGGCCCGTATGGCCAGCAGCTCAAATGCCCATCAACACCCATAACCCAGAACACCTGCTCTTGTGACTTAGGTTAGGAGTCACTGCACATTGATTCTGACCTCAGCATCTTAACATGCATGTCCCTAGTCTATGGGTGGGCCTCTCTTTGAACTCTCTGTTGCACTGGAAAACATTTCCTTAGGTCTTTAAGATGCCCCCCAAATCCTCTACCAAGTGAGTTCCTTGTAAGCCACCAGCCCCAAACTCAGACCATCCCAATGTCAAAGCAAGCTCATTTAATTTCTGTGAATCTGGTAACGTAGTGGTTACGAATCAGGCTTCGAACTACAAGGTCAGTAGTTCGAAACTACCAGCTGTTCCATGGGCAAAAGTTGAGGCTTTCTGCTCCTGTAAAGATTTACAGCCTCAGAAACCCTGTACAGGGTTGCTATGAGTCGAAACCGACTCCACGTCACATAACCAACCAACCAAGACTCTAGAGGTGGTAAGACTAAGTTGTTAATTAATTTCTGCTTCTGCAGAAAAGAAAAGAAAAAAATTTAATTCCCAGGATTTCTGGGAAGAAGGGTACCACATTTGATGAGCCCAGAGAAATGTAGTTCAAGGAAGGAAACTCAGTTGTGCCTGAGACAAAATATGCATATTTACAAGTTGTAAATGTCACGCCCACTGACAGTCTGTCCTCTAAAGGGTTTTACATTCATTTTGAATTGTTTTTTATTATTGTCCAAGCAAAACAGAAAATAAGAATACTTCCTACCTTTCTCACTTAGTTAATATTTTGGAGTATGTCCTTTCTGTCTTTTTGCATATTTAATTTAATTTAAAATGGTCTCTGTGGCCTGGTTTCCTTACTCAAAAATATGTCACGGTTATCTGTGTTGATAATTATATTTCTAGAGAGTATCGCCTAATTAGAATAGTGTTTCCTAATACCTTTCACTGTGAGATAACGCTCTGGACTACAAGGTCCGTTTGAACCACAAAGTTGGTGGTTAAATTTACCAGCTGCTCCTTGGACACCCTATAAAGGGTTACTGTGAGGCAGAACCGACTTCACAGCACTTAACAATAACAACTATTCACCATCGATTCCCCTGTAGTTGGACTTGTATGTTGGACTTTGAGGGAGAAAGGGACTTGCTGCTTTTGAGTGGCTGTTTGAGTTAAATGTGCTACTCTGATGAGCTGATTTGCGTCTGAACTTCTGCCCACGCCCTAGACCATTTCCTTGTTTATCCTTAGTTAAGGTTCCCTTAGAGACAGGTTTGCTGGCTCATGTGGCATGTGCATTGTTTTAGATTTAATTTTCTAAATTTTTATTGTGGTAAAATATATGAGAAGGCTTCAAAATGTTCATGGAAAAATGGAATGAAAAGATAATGGAATTTTCCCACAAATGTTTTGAAGCCCCCTAAATACATATAACAGAAATTTGTCATTTTCACCATTTTTAAGCAACACTAATTCACCATGTTGTGTAACCATCACGACTTTTATTTCCAAACATTTTTTCACCCCAAACAGAAACTCAGTAAGCAAGAACTTTTGACCCTTAACCCTTAAGCAAGAATTCACCAGTCCTCTCTCTGTCATCCCCCTAGACCCTTAACTGGTTGCAATCTAATCAGTTCTGACTCCTAGTGACCCTATGTTATGGTTGTTAAGTGCTGTTGAGTCAGGGACCCTGTATAGGGTTTCCAGTGCTTATCCTTCAGTTCCACGCCAGGACCCCTAATGACCCCATAGAACAAAGTAAAACTGCCCTATAGGGTTTCCAAGATTATTTTTTTATGGAAGTAGCCTGCTATGCCTTTGTCCTACATAGCGGCTTATTGTTGTTGTTGAGTTGGTTCCCACCCAAGGAGCCACTGGTGAGCTTGAACTTCCAGCCTACACTTCAAACAGTCCAGCACATTAACACACAGTGCCACACCAGGCCTTAAAACACCTACCTTTTGGCTAGCAACCAAGCACTTAACCACTCCCCCCACCAGGCTCTTTCCTCAGCCCCTGGTAACCTCTAGTCTGTTTTCTGTCTTTGCACATTTGCTAATTCTAGGTATTTCAAAGAAGTGAAAGCACACTCTATTTGTCCTTTTGTATTGTTATGCCCAGAATTCGGGGTCCCCAAAGACCACCCAGGAGCCGTGTACTGATGCAAATACATAAGGGAAGTTTAATCAAGCTCGAGCCAGGTCTCTCACCTTATCCAACACATCGGAATAGGGAAAGAGCCCCGAATTCATTGTCTGCAGGGTTTTTATAGAATTTTCAAACAGCAGGTTTCTCAGCTTTACAATCTTTGGATTGGTTAACAATTGACAAACTATGAGATGTTACAGTTTAATTGGTCAGGACTGGTGGTCTTTGTTCTTAGGCTAGGGTAAAGGAAAACATCTGGCCTCTGGCCTTGAGCTGCCTGGCTATTTATACATATATCATTTTCTTGGAGCTAGAGGACGTGTTCAGGCTATTGTACAGAATGGAGATTGACCTTGTCTCTGGAGGGAACTAAAAACTGAGGCCTTGTCTATTTAAAATGCTTTCCTGAGCCTGACTAGAGTTTAGTCAAGCAGTCTCTAGGTAGGCAAAATCAGGTAAAATCAGTTTGGTCCTTACAGTATCTGATTCATTTCACTTAGCGTGTGTTGTCAGGTTTCATCTGGGTGGTAGTAGTGATCAGAACCTCATTTCTCTTTATGATGAATAACATTCCTTTGCATAGATCTATCTCTTTTTGTCTCTCTGTAGATGGACAGAGTATTGTATTGTTTTGTTTCTGTTGTTCCCTACTTTTGGCTGTTTATGAATAAGGTCGTAATGAACACTGGTGTTTGAATATCTGAGCCCCGCTTTCAAATATTTTGAGGCCATATGCCTAGGAGTGGAAGGCACACTTATTTTTTAACTTTTAAGTAAATGTTACCTAAGCCCTCACAAAGGAGCCCTGGTAGTGCTATGAGTTAAGCATTGGTCTACTAGCCACAAGGTCGACAGTTCAATGCTGCCTGCTCTTGTAAAGATTTACAATCTGAGGAAACCCTACGGGGTAGTTCTGTTCTGTCCTACAGGGTTGCTACCGGTCAGAATTGACTTGATGGTAGTGGGTAGGGTTTGGAGTAGCCCTCACAAGAAGCCCTGGTGGCCCTGTGGTTAAGTGCTCAGCTGCTAACCAAAATGTCGACGGTTTGGGCCCACCAGCCGCTACATAGCAGAAAGATGTGGCAAGGGTTACAGCCTTGGGGACTCGATGGGACAGTTCTACTCGGTCCTGTAGGGTCGCTGTGAGTCAGAATCTACTCGAAGGCAGTGGGTGTGGTTAGGGTTAGTAACCCTCTCAAAGGTCAGGCCACTTGCTCTCTACTGTTGTTGTTAAGTGCTGCCAAGTCAGTTCTGATGCTCTACAGCATGTTTTCCACACACAGGTTTCACGGTGGCATACTCATAGTGCTCTTCCTTATCTGTGCCTGACATCTTACCGTGTTGAATTTGCTTTGCATCAGGGACCCTTAGAGCAAACAAGATCTTTTTCCATGTCCCTTCCTCTGTCTCTCAGTGGGTTTCCTAGGTGTGGGGATATGTTGCTAAGTGACACAGGGGAGAAGGAGTGTGGGTGATCAGAGGGTTGCTGACCTCCCATGTTCTGACGCTGATCCTGTGTCCCTCCTGGTTTCAGGTTCAGTTGCTGGAGGCCATCATAAACTATTTTATGTCCAGTGTTGTGCTTCCCAAGGTGAACGGTAAGGAGCTCTGGAGAAACCATTGATTTTTAGTTCTGTTAGAGCAGGTGGAATTGAGATTACCCTACCCTACCCTGGTTGGTTATGTGCCACGGAGTCAGTTCCGATTCGTAGCCACCCTGTACAGGGTTTCCGAGGCTGTAAGTCTATATGGGAGCAGAAAGCCTCATCTTTCTTCCACAGAACAACTGGTAGTTTCGAAATTCTGACCTTGAGGTTCACAGCCCGATTCGTAACCACTACATTCCCAGAACTCCTTCTACCCTACGCTAGAGGTACCTAATACCTGGCTTCAGTAGGGGAGTCTGGGGACAATCCCCTTAGTGAACTTCAAATGGCATCTAACCCAGAGAGTGGACAGGAAAAGAGAATTCACGTGTTTAGTTCCTACTCAGTGTTGCCATAACTCCCTCTAGCCTTACCACAGCCCCAAGACGGTGGGGAATTACCCAATACAGTGGGGAATTACTGCTATCTGTAATTTTCATGGGAAGCAGTAGAAGCTCAGAGTGGTTAAGTGGCTTCTATCAGGTCACAGAGCAGGAGGTAAGAGGTGGAGCCTGGCTTTGACCCCCGCTCTGAAGCCAGAACCTATGGTCTTTTCCCACTCTGGGAGGAGGGCCAGGGAGCATCTGCTAAGAGCATATCATCACATACAAGTACGAGTTTTACCTTTGCAGAGCCAGGGTCAAGTACAAGTGGAGAGCCACATAACTTGTGATGAAACAATTTGGAAATTATAAATTAAGCATAAACATTATTGTATAGAATAGGATCTTTCCTCTCACCTACAAAATTACAGCTTCCCAATGACCTGGGAGACCAGGTTAAAATTTAGAATACCTGGGATCTCTGGAGTTCCCCATGGTGCTATCAGAGGAGCTGGCCCCTGGCCAACATGCATGTGTGCCTTTGTCCTTACCTTGAAGGGCTTTGTGAGCACATGAATGAATACCTCTAATGGCACAGCCAAGCTCTGTCCACACCTGGACCCACAGCCAGTTGCCGAACAGTTACTCTCAGGATGGTGGCCCTGGATGTGGGCTTAAAGATCAACAAGTAGGAAGCCAGGTCCCTGGTGCCCAGAGTGTGGTGAACAGATGGGAGGTGCGGCCTGCAGGAAAGCCTCCAGGCCAGTCTCCCCATGGTGCTAGGCTGCCTCTTTGGGGAGGCTGGCGACCTTGGCTCTCTGAGGCCCCAGCTTCTTCTTCCTCCTCCCTGGTCCTCACCATTGGTCTCCATTTCAGAGAGGCTGCAACAGGGCTTCCCTCTGCCACTTCTGGCCCACATCCAGCTTGACAACCTGTTGCTTCAGTCTTACCAGGTGAGTCCTCAAAGCCTCGCTTCACCAAATCTCCCCTAACAATAGCAACCTTGTGCAAAACAGTTGTTCCTTGGCGAACCCTGTATCATGCTCTTTCTACCCTTATGACCACCCTGCAATGTGGCTTGTAAACAGAGAAGAAAGATTAAGGCTCAAAAAGGTTAAGCTACTTAACCAAAGCCACACAGCTATCCAGTGAAAGTTAGGCTCTCTGCTTTTCTCCACTGGCTGCATGGGTCCCACATTGCACTTGAAACTCATTTGATGATCAAACAGTCTTTTGTTTGTTTGTTTAAAGTTTTATTGTGAATTATATGATAGTTTACATGGGAGAACATTCGATTTACATTCATTCTATCGTATATCGTTTCATTGCCATGATTACAATCCCCTCCATGTATCATCAGCCAACCAAAGGGTATACCCTGCAAGCCTGCCCCCTACACCATCCCCCCCCCCCCTAGTCTTCAGCACACAGTCCCTCTCCCTCTCTGGATCTAAAGTCCCCAGCTGCTCCATCGCTCCACGTCATTGTCTCTGCCTCCATCTCAGGCATCACTGCTTCTCTGGGTAGGGTCCCGCTCTCGGCTCTTCTCCATTGATGGTCCTAGGGACCTCAGCTCCTAGACTGAAAAGTTAATCATTCCCTTCCTTGCTATAAAATGTCTATCTTTACATTTCCAACCCTCACAATCAGTCCTGATAACAATTACTCACTATTGCATCACAAGAGACCCATCTGTATTTCATTTCATCAGCTCCACCTAGACAGATTGGATAGTACTCACTGGAGATTCTGCCTTCCTCCAGGCCCCCTGGCTCTAGGTTCCCTCTTGAAAGCTTGTAAGCCAGTCACTTCTTGCCTTTGTAGCCCACCCCTCCCCCCCATTTTGGATATCCAATGTCCAAGTTGCCCATCTCTGTCTACTCTGTGTGTGGAGGGGGTGGAAATGATTCTTGCTGTAAGGATTTGTTCCCTCTTTTGAGCTTCTGCATTTATAGGTGTAGGTCAAGTTCATCAAATTGTATCAGATTACTCTTTTTTTCCTCTTCTTTCTTCTTCTGGTTAAGCTCTGATCATCCAGTCATTGAAGCCAGGTCAAGTGGGTATTATCTGCAAGTGTGGGTGTTCTTGTGCATATGCCCTCTCTTTTTATCAGCTGAACGCTTCACTCTCCACATTGTAGGGCTTAGCTGGCTGCTTCATTGCTGTCTTTCCCTCACTTCCCCTTATCGGTGACGAGTGTGGTCACCAATCAGACCATGTATTCCCATTGAGTCTTATTCTTGGAAGGGAGTCTGCACTGAGGGGACCTGACCACTTGCATTGATGTTTCCTGGGCAAGCAACTTGTTTGTTCTTGTGGTAACAGTGTGTCTGCCTCTATTGTTTTGTATTTTTCCTGTAGGTCTTTCTTTCAAGAAGTATCTTCTGTTCTTCTAGCCACTCCAGGCTGGTCTTCTTGTCCTTTCAAGTGGGAATTTCCCATCTCTGGAGATCTGGATGTGGTTCAGGCTTCTACAAATAGTCTTATGTATTGCAGAGGCTCCATGGGAAGCCTCCTTCACTGGGCACGTTGTAACCCCATTTTAGGTATTCCAGTCAGTTGTAGGCAGAAAACGGACTTACAAGCTTCCTATGGTGATGTTTCTGGCTATTCCTTTCTCTCCCCCTCCAGTGTCTATTTTATAATATAATACAAGGAAAACCAAGATTCAAAAGACAGCCAAGCATCTTAACATTATTCCCCCCTTTTCCCCATTCCAACCATGTCTCAATCTCTGTATCCCAGAGCCTTGTAGTTCCAAGGTTGTTCGAACCTCATTCTTACCTCTGTCCCACTTAGCCCATTCAAACCTGCCTAATTGTTCTCCCATCTGCTTTGTTCTTCCATTCCCCTCTCCCTTCTTGTATATTGCCCCCCTCCCCAGCACCCAAACTTTCCTGTGTCTAATCTCTGCCCTGGGCTCCACCTTCTCCTCCCTCCCCTCACCCACTCCCAACATCCCAGCAATCAACAAATAATTTTCCCCACACCCCTTTATTATGGGTTCTTTTTCTTAGTCTTTTACAGTAGTGGTCCTATGCAGTATTTCTCTTTGTGACTGACTAATTTCACTCACAATAATGTCCTCAAGGTTCATCCATGCTATGCGGTGGCTTGCCGCTTTCTTGTTATTCTTCAAGGTAGCATAATATTCCATTGTGTATATGTACCACAGTTTGTTTATCCATTCTTCAGTTGATGGGCACTTTGGCTGTCTCCATCTTTTTGCTATTGTAAATAGCACTGCTATGAACATTGGTGTGCATATATCTTCTCGTGTTGTGGCTCGTTTTTCAAAGAGTCTGTTTAGAATGTTGTTGTTGTTGTTTGTTGTTAGGTACCATCGAGTAGGTACCAACTTCATACAGACCCTATGTAGAACAGACCGGGAACACTGTGCCTTTAAATATTTGATGACTAAATACTGCAGTCCTCCCATAGCCTCCAGCACTGTTCTAGGTACTATGAGTAGCAAATGTTAATAGTAGTGGATTTGAACTCACCACCACATCCTCTTGCCTTTCACCTGACCTGACTTACTGGGCAGTTGCTGCCTCCTTTGTAGGTTCTTTCTGCCCCATACCAACTAGAGTATTCCAGGTTCCCATCTGACCTGTTTCCACATGATCAGCTCTCTGGGATCATTCTCATTAGCTGCCAGGCATCCTCCTAGCTTCCGATTTCTTCAAAATTCCTGATATCTGTGGGCTTCTGCATTGCCTTCTCTATGAGGCCCTGGAACCAGCCTGTTGCAATGAAGCAGGTATCGCAACAACAAAATCATCTGTTACTTCCTTACCATGGCCAGTGACTTTCTCAGTTGGTTGCCCTGTGGCCTACCTAAGAAACCCCATATTACTAGGATCCCTCACTCTCCTCCAACCCCCAAGTCCAGATAATCAAGCCCACAACCGTCTAGACCAGGGAGCTGATAGAGCTAAGCAGCTAGGGAAAAACAGTTGAGAAAGCAGAGGAAACACATTTTCCATGCTCCCTAAATCTTACCAAACTCATGCTTTAAAAAACACACAAAACAACCTTGACCCCAATGCACAATTTAATTTCTTCCTTTCTGAACATTCTCAGTGAAGGGCGTGAAAGAGCAAAGAGAAGTGATTTTGTAGCATTGATTAGAACAAGGGCTCCCTTGAGCTGCCATGAGGCAGGGATGACAAATGAAGCTTCCAAAACAGCCCTGGGGTCTCACCATCAGAGTGAAACAGCTGCTAACGAAGACCCCCTGTGCCCCCCTGTCAGCTCCTGCTTTTCTGTCAGCAGACAGACTTCTGCTCTCTCCTTTCTAATAGGCAGGCTCCCAAGGTTTCCACATTTTTTTTTT